AGAGATGAAAAATTCTTGTAATTCAAAAGAGAATCACCGGTCAATTGCAAGGCCAGGGCAAAAGAGGGAGCACTAGGTGTTTGCTAGATCACTGTTTTTTGCTTCTATTTTCTATGGACTGCTTAGAAAGAACCTGGGAGACCTCCAAACTACGCAATGGAGGCGGTGACCTTTGAGGATGTGGTTGTGAACTTCAGCAATGAGGAGTGGAGTTTGCTGAGTCCATCCCAAAAGAACCTCTACAGAGATGTGATGGGTGAAATCTTTAGGAACATGGCTGCAAAAAAAAAAAAAATAGGAGGACTTGGGGATATCCAGGAAGCTGAAAAAGAATGCAAAATTTACTGGAGATACTTAAGAAATGACAAGCTAGGGAAATCTTATGGACATACATCTTGGAAGCAGTGTAAAGAAGTATTCCTTTGTACTGCAGAAGGTAATGTGAATGTGAAAGAAACAGAAACACAAAACGATGTTCAGATCCATGAAAAATATTGCAGTGGAGGGAAACCCTACGTATGTAAGCAATGTGGGAAAGTTTTTAAAACACGTGCATATTGTAAGGTTCATGTAAGAATTCACATGGGAGAGAAACCATATGTATGTAAGTAATGTGGGAAAGCTTTTATCACACGTGCAAATTGTAAGGTTCATGAAAGAATTTACACTGGAGAGAAACCCTATGTGTGTAAGCAATGTGGAAAAGGTTTCATCCAACCTGGAAATTGTAAGGAACATGAAAGAATTCACACTGGAGAGAAAAAATATATGTGTCTGCAATGTGGAAAGGTATTCACCAGATCTAAACATTGTAAGCAACATGAAAGTATTCACACTGGAGAGAAACCCTATGTATGTAAGCAACATGGGAAAGCTTTTAACACACATGCAAGTTGTAAGGTTCATGAAAGAATTCACACTGGAGAGAAACTCTATGTATGTAAGCAATGTGGGAAAGCTTTTACCAGACTTGGACATTGTAAGGAACATGAAAGAATTCACACTGGAGAGAAACCCTATGTATGTAAGCAATGTGGGAAAGCTTTTACAAGACCTGAATGTTGTAAGAAACATGAAAGAATTCACACTGGAGAGAAACCCTATGTATGTAAGCAATGTGGGAAAGCTTTTACCAGGCCTGGACCTTGTAAGGAACATGAAAGAATTCACACTGGAGAGAAACCCTATGTATATAAGCAATGTGGGAAAGCTTTTACCAAACCTGGACGTTGTAAGGAACATGAAAGAATTCACACTGGAGAGAAACCCTATGTATATAAGCAATGTGGGAAAGCTTTTACCAAACCTGGACGTTGTAAGGAACATGAAAGAATTAACACTGGAGAGAAACCATATGTATGTAAGCAATGTGGGAAAGCTTTTAACACACGGGGAAATTGTAAGGTTCATGAAAGAATTCACACTGGAGAGAAACCGTATGTGTTTAAGCAATGTGGGAAAGCTTTTAAAACACAGGGAGATTGTAAGAAACATGAAAGTTCACATTCAATATAAAACCAGTATATATAGGCATCATGAGAATGGTTTCATCACATGTACATATTGCATAATGCATGAAAATCTTCACACTGGGCAGAAAACATACATATGTAAGGAATATGGGAAAGGTTTCAGCAGAAATGCTCATTATCCAATACATTGTAAAATTTACATGGTTGAGAAACTCTGTGTGTATGTGAAGAATGTGGGAAAGCTTTCACCACACATGGATTTTGTAAAATACATCTATGACTTCACACTGGTGAGAAAGCCTATGTATATAACAATGTGGCAAAGTTTTTACTGCATATAGTCATTGCAAAACAAATGAAAGATTTCACACTGGGAAGAACCACTGGCTACATAAGCAAGTGGAGACACTTTCAGCAGCCAGATTATAAGTGAAATACATGAAAAAAAAACTCACACAAGAGATAAATCCTATGTGCTATGGGAATACTCTCAGCACACATGATCATTGTTACATATCTGAAAGAGCTCACTGGGCAGAGATCCTATGTGGATTAACAATGTGAGAAATATGGCAAACCATGTTTCTTGTTAAATACATAGAAAAAGCATCACTGTTCAGACAGTTTAGATCTAAGTTTACTTTAAAATTCCCAAGGAGACCTGAAGAAATAATCAATACAGAAGTTAGATGTCAATATTTCTTCACAAATATTCCAGAAATGACAAATCTGAGGTGGGGCTCTCCTTAGGTGCACATGTTGTATGGTTTTCAGTTAAACACTTGTACCTCTCTAGATTTATTAATCTAGATGTTTTTGTGCTTCAACATGGCATCTTGTAACTAAACATGCTAAACTGAAATGGGCTTTTCACTTTCAAGTATGGATAGTGCCTCCGTACTTAATATTTTGTCTTTAAAACTTAAATTTTGTATTTTCTGGTGAATTGTAATGTTGTTTATTTAAAGAGGAAAAAAGTGTAGAAATAATACAGAATTTCAGAAAAATAAACAATAAGAAATCACTAAAAAAAAACAAAACAAAAGAGAATCACCACATGTAAACAAATGTAGAAAATGCTGAGCTTCCCAAAGCTGATTCATGCAAGCACACATCCATGACATTTGCTGTGTCCCCATCTGATTGGCAGGTTTTAAGGCAAGTGCTGAACATCACTTGGGAGAACATGGTGTGCAGAGAAGAGCCCTGTCCAGTAGCTCCCATCACAGCTCTACACAGGTGTCCCCAGACCTTGCAATGCTCACAATAGAGATTTATCCCACACAGAGATCCGCATAACTTTTCAAGCTTTCTGTTTAAGACTGTGGTTCACAGCACTGATTGAAGCAGGAGGAAACTGGGAGCCTTGCTACACTCCACATAGAGAGTTCAAGGCATCAGAGTGGGTCACAAGAACCAGGGAAAGCTGCAGGGATGCTGAGCTCAGTCTCTCTCTGCCCACAAGGGAAGAGGAAAAGGAATCTGATCACGAAGTAATACACTGATGAGAGAAGGATGTGTGCACGGAAGATCTTGGTTTTGAAAATGAAATGTCTCTGACATCAATGTGTGTTCACACACAGACATGTAAGAATCTATGCCCAAGATTGGTGTCTCAGCAGTGTACTTACTTATGCAAACCCTGACTCAAAATAAAAAAGAAATTTGAAAACAGAATTTACTGTAGTTCAGTGCAAGGGCCTACATTCAATTCCCAGAATTGAGTTAAGGAAAAAAATTGGGAGCAAGATGAAGGGCTGCAGAACACCATCACCTGGTCTTTCTGGAGAGCAGTGTGCCCCAAGCAGCTTGAGCCTCCACATCTTTTTTGGGCACTTTGATTTTCAAGAATGATCAGTTCCATGAGGGATGGGGAAAGCAGGATTTTCATCCAAGAATACAAATTGTCACTAACAATGGAGAAGAAATTTTCAACTATAACTAAACTGCATGGTGACCACTGTTAATAAGAAGGATAGCTTGCAAAACTGCTAAACAATGGGATTTGCAGTTGTAGTCACTGTGAAAGTATTTGTAGGTTAGTAACATGGTAGACACATGGTAGACACATTACCTGGATTGATTCTTTCTACAAAGGAGACATAGATCAAAAGCACATGTTACCCCACAAACATTCATAATTTTTGTGAATTACCAAAGGAAGATATCCTATACCTGTACTCCCAGCACTCAGGGAGAGTAAGGAAGGAGGACCACAAGTTTAAACCCAACTTGGAGTGCTGAGTAAATTATTTAGAGATTATCTCAAAAATTAAAAAAAAAAAAAACAAAGTTTTAAAATGCATGGGCATATAGCTCATACAGAAATCCCTGTGATCATTGAACACAGTGTATTAACCATTATTCTGTTATGAAAAAAATTAATCTATTTATAAAAGTGTTTTCATACTTTATTAATATCTACCTGTGCTACATTAAAATAAAAAAGAAGAAAAAATTTTTGTTTGTTTGTTTTATTTTCCTTTGAGACAAGGTATTGCTATGTACTGCAGGCTGACCTTGACTCAACAAGTATTTCAGGCTAGCCTTGAACTCCCTGAGATCCTTGAGTCTAACCCTCCCATGTGCTGGGATTACAGGCATGCACCACCATGCCTTGCAAGAAAGTGGTTTTTTTTTAATTTTCAAGAGGATAAAACCAAATGAAATAAAACAGAATAGATTGAATCAAAACAAAAGGATGATCATGGTACATCAGTTAAAAATAAAATTTGTGTGGCCTCTCAGCTGGTACAGAAAATGACTCAACACCTTACTGAACTCCAAATTTCTCCAGATAATTGGGCAAATACCTAAATTTTGCAAGGTGTCTATTTTTAACATGTCTTGTCTAAGAAGCAATTCATATGAAGTACCAGGAAAGAATACAGAACTTGGATTTACTATTTCCAATGTCTGGAATTTATCCCAAGAAAAAAAAGATATATGCTCAATGCAGTTTTTCTATGAGGAACTAGACTTGTGTACATGGTCAATAACAGGATAACTAAGTAAAACTCTACTTATGCATATAATATAAATATGCAACACTATGCAAATACATAAATGATGTGAGCAGAACTGGGGAGTATGGTTAGGGACAGCCGAATAAGGACAAGATGGGTATTCTGCAGCAGGTTCAACAATGTGGGTGAATTGTTTTTTTGTGGGTTTAAATTTTTAAACTGCTGATCACACTTTCTCATCCCTCAAAGCCCCATGCCACATTCAGACTCCTCACAAAGCTTAAACACCCAAGAGACACCAATATTAAAACAAGCAGAAAGCCCTTATCAATGGAATGGACTGGAGACAAAGCATGTGCAGGTAGAATAATAACTGCTGTCTTAGTATAACATCTAGGTCCTGTCTCAGTCTGCAGGGAGGAGCTCCAAGTGGAATAAAATCGTCCTATTGGGGTAAATGTCCGCAGCTCAGGAGGGCCAGGCTCACTGAGAGCAGAGGCCATGTGAGACCCCCAGCCGCCCTGCCACAGGTCCCACACCAGGGCTGGGCTCCCAACAGCACCTGGGGGGGGGGCGAGGATCCCGGGCCCCATGCCAGGCGGACCCCGACAGAAAGGAGGGCCCTGAAGACCTGAGGCTAGGTCGCCCCAGTGCCGCACCCGCCGCCTCCCCGGACCCCCGACCAAGGGCACCTGCGCAGCTAACATCGGGGCCACTGGCTTGCGCCACCACTCAACAAGGGCTGCCGCCTGCCTACCTGTCCCAGACCACAGTCCCAGCCCAGCCACAGCCTAGGCCGAGGAAGGAAGAGTGCTCAGGTCTCCAGAAGGGGTCGCTAGCGGCAAAATGGCCACTCCATTGCATCCACTGTGAAGGGAGGCCGGGGCGGGGCGGGACTGAGTGGGATGCGGAGGCCAGTGGCTAGGGACCGTCCCTGGGCCCGGGCCGCCCAGGTTGGGCTGGGTGGAGTGTAATCTTAGCTCGCGGCCAGGGGTTGGGGCCAAGAGAAGTGAGTGGCGGGGCCAGAAGCTGGGACCCAGGAGGTGCAGAGCCCTCCAGGAGGCAAGAATGAGGCAAGAATGAGGCAAGAATGAGGCAATGGGCGTGGCAGTGGGGGTTAGGGTTTCTCTGACGCTGGGTGTGGCTGCAGGTTGAGCTTCTGGGAGACTGAGCCCCAGGCCTGCTGTGAGAGGAAGCAGAGGAGTGGACTGAGTCTGAGGCTTGGAATTTATAGATGTCTGGACTCAAATCTTCCTGGGCCTGACACCTTAGGTACACTGCTTCTCTTCTGAGAGCCTCAATTTAAACTATTCTTATTCTCGTATTATTTTGCTTTGAAATATTGTGTGGTTTTTTTCTACTAAAAAAAACAAACTGTGATGAATGGCAATACTCATCTCTTGGCACTGTTGTGAAGATCCAACGAATACCCTGCAGAGTCTTCCCATGGTTCCTACCATATAGCAAGTGCTCAGATGCCATTGTTATTTGCGTTGTTGCCCTTCTTTTATTAAAGAGAAATGAGTGCTTTCAGTATCCGTCATCTGATGTCTTCATAACTTAAAAATATGTTTACATGTTAATATAGCACACTAACAAGCATATGTAACACTTACAGGTGTAAGGTCAGGGCCTCTCTGAGGTGCTTTACATATGTTAATTCTTACAAGAGTAGGGGTTAGGAATTATTTTCATTTTCATAGCTGAGTGAGCCGAGACACCAACATTTAATACCTTTTCCAATGACAAAGGTGTGGACAGAATTTTAACCCAGTGGGCCTCATACCAACACCTCCATTAAATAACCCATACGTTGCACAGCAATGCTACAGTTCTTCTTTGGATTTTTCACATGAGTGAGGCATGAAATTGTTCAGGGGAGGTTGCACAGGTAGCAAGAGGCATGTTGTGTCAGGGTTCACTAGAGGATCAGATTTAATTTGTGAGAGAGAGTGTGTGTGTGTGTGACACATAATGGATTTATAAAGTAGGATTAGAATGGCCTTCTGCAGACTCATGGGGAGAACACAAAAGGGCCTTGTTCTCCTTGAAGATGCAGAAGAACTGGCTGAAAGTAAAATGGACTGTTCGTGAGCACTGTGTGAACATTTGTTGGCCTGCTTTGGGAACTCAAGAAAGATTTTCTGGGGTGAGGTCCCAAGGTCAGAGAATGTACATGTTCAAGACATCAGCAACAGTGGTAGTCAGTGTGGAGCAGAGCAGAGAACCACTGTTTTTGTTGTATAATTCTTACAGTTTTCTATCTCATATTTATATTCTTATATAGTGCTCTAAGCAGTCCATGGTGGCCAGGAAGCAGAGCAGAGGGACAGCACCAGGGAAGAAGGAGCCAGAGACCAGATGGAGCACCTAGCGTCATTCCTCCATAACCCCTACAGATGAGCCAAGAAGTATACTTTACTAATCCCTTGGACAGCTCTCAAGCCCATCAATTGACAATGAAATCAGTCATCACATAGCAGAAGTTTTGTGAGGTTAATATTATAGGTGATTTACATATGTACATATATATATTGTTTTTTTTGGTTTTTTCCACCTTTAAAATTCTATCCAAAGTCAAAAAAATGCTGAATTTTATATATTAGAAATAACCTTTCCTTAGGCAAATTTTACAAAATGAACTGAAAAAGACTGAAAAATAAATGAACAAGAGTTTAAAAAGAAACAACTACTTGAAAGACAGTTAAACAATTTCTGTGTTAAACAAGCAAGACCTGAAATATTCAACTGCACACTGAGTATCTTCCCCTTGGAAATCAGTGCTACAGCTATACAAACACAAGAATGACTACAGCAACTTTATTTTTGAGCTCAAAACTGGAAACACCAAAAAGGGCCTCAGCTGATGGACACATGAGGATCTGTGGTTCATCCACACAATGGGGTGTGATGGCTCAGCCACTGACAAGGAGCAGCACTTGGAAAACCTAACATGGTTATGAGGATTGAATAAACCCTACCAGCTCCCCCCAAAACAAAAACAAAAACCTTCTGCATCCTGTGTGGTTACAGACCTGTCACCTCTAGAAAATACAAAGTGTTTCCCAGAGACAAAAAGCAGACACATTGCTTAGGATGGAGGGAAGCAATTTTAAGGAGCCATAAGTAAAATATGAAGGTGACGTATACATCACCACTTCGGTGATGATTTTCAAGGGGCTCATGTATGACAAGATTCCTAGAGGATTTTTTGTTTGTTTTTAGTTTCAGTTTTGTTTATTTTTGGTACCAGGAACCAAATTCAGGACCCTGTGCTTGCCAGGGAGCACTTTGCCACTGAGATATACCCCGTGCCCATGTCAAGTTTCATCCAATTTTGTATTTAAATCTGTTAGTTCATTGTATGTAAATTATAATGAAATAAAATTGCTTTTAAAACACTTCTCATCTGAGCTATCCACAAAAGCTTTATTTACTTATAGATTTACTGACAAGAAATTTTGTTATTTATAGATTTATTTCTAAGCAGTATTGTTTATTTATAGATTATTTTATACAAAGTCTGTTTATTTATAGATTTATTTAATTTTGCTGTGCTGAAGATTGAGTGCAGTGCCTTGGTGCTTTTATCATAATTTATTCCCAGACAGGGCCTTGCTAAATTGCTAAGTTGTTTACATTGGGCTGGAATTTTATTACACTTATTAGCATTTTTTTGTACTGAAGTATAACAAAGGTAACTAAATTGAGTAGTCTCAAGTAAATCAATAAATACAGATTAACATACAATAGCTGGGTGTGATGGTACATGCATGTATTCCTGGCACTTAGGAAGCTGAGGCAGGAGGATTATTGCAAGTTCTAGATAAGACTAATTTACATAGTGAAATTCAAGGCCAGCCTGAACTACACAGTGAGAGTCTTAAAAATTAAATTAATAAAATAAAATAAGATAAACCCTGGACTAAGGCAAGGAATTATCTTCTAGTCCAAATCATGGGCATCTTCAGAGGATTTACTTTCAAAGGTGATATTGTTTGTATCTGGGTGTCCCCACCAAAGCCTATGAAGTCACAGAGGCAGCTAAACCTAGCATCTGTGATTGGTTCATTGTTTAGTGCTGTGATTGGTGATGAAAGTGCTTCACCTTCCCGGGGTTTAAATTATTGGAGTAAAAGAAGTCTCACCAGTTCATTTTGTGAGAGAAGTGAGAAAGTCTTGTAATTCAAATGGAAATCACCACCTGTGGCCAACAGGTGCAGAAAACATTGGGCCTCCCAAAGTTGATAAGCACAGGCACAAATTACTGAGATGTGCTGTGTCCCCATCCAATGGCACCTTTTAAGGCAGGAGCTGAACAGCACTGAAGAGAACATGGGGGATAGAGCAGAGTCCTCTCCCGTAGCTCCCATCTCAGCTACATCAGAGCCATCTTTGGCCTCACAGGACTAAGAAGAGAGGTTTCTCCAACAGAGAATACTACACAAATTTTCAAGATTTCTTTTCAAGAGTTTGACTCACGGTACTGTTTGAAGCAGGAAGGAACTGGGACCCTCCCTAGCCTTCACTTAGAGCATGCACAGGAGAGCTGTTTGAAGAATGCCATGCATGATTGTTGGAGGGAACTCTGGCCAGGGCCATAGAGGTGCAGGTCTAGGGGTGAAAAACTCATAGCACAGCAAGGTTTTTCATGGGCTAACCAGTGCGCTGGGAGTCTACACTGTAAACCAGTGCTTCCCAACACCAGGGACAACAATGAGCAAGGGCATTTGGATGCCAGAGTGGCCAGTCAGGTGAGGGGCAGCCCTGACTGACACACCTGAGAAGAGTATACCTCTGGAGCTGAACCCCCAGCAGGTCCACCTCACTTCCTTTTCAGGTCTGTCAGCAAGGACATCACACAGGAGCACGGCAATACAATTGAAGTTTACTCAAACTAAATTATTTAGCTTCCTTTTGAAGAAATGATTGAAAATGCACAAGTCTGAGAAATACAAGGCTGAGAACAGCATTCTGCATGTTGTGTAAATAAACTGACCCTTTACAAGTCATGGAAATAATGCCTGTGTGTGAGTCTGCAATGGCAGAGGTGTGCAAACTCATGCATGCAGGTTTCACAATTGCAAAAGAATAACTCCAAATAAATGCTACATGGACATGACTTCCCTTTGGGACTGCACTGTAGCAAGCTAGATTTACTGAGCCACCTCAGTAAACCCAAGGGAAAACACACCAGATGATACCATTACCCAAATATGATGGTTCAGGAGCTCTGCTGCATGCTTGATGCTGCTGCTGGTTGACAATTTCAAGGTGTTTCTATCTGCACAACCCGTCTTCACCCCTCTCAGCTAATGATTGCCTGGATGTGGATCAGACTATGTCTTTACTTAAAACCCCACCATGATTTCAGGATGGATAGCAGTCTCTTGTTTACTGGAAATTATTTGTGAAGTTTGGGTGTAAGCATCCTTAGACCATGTGCTTAGCAAGTTGAGGGGAAATGAGATTGTTTGAAGTAAATATAGGAAACTCATTTGTCAGTGGAAGATTCAGTTGGTATTGAAGCCCATATGTTATGGGTAAACAGGATTGAGTCAGGGTTTGCTGTACAAAGTGCTGGAAGGCACAGCAGTGTCCCCAAGTTCAGTTTCTGGTTTGCTTCCCTCATTCTACCAAGCTTGAGAGTGGATTCTCAGCATTCAAGCACATAGGGTTTGACCTAGCGTAGAAATCTGTAAAAACT